AGTAGTACCCTGGTAGATCTTGCTCAGCGAGTGTGCATTAAAGTGCGCCCTCTATGGCAATTCAACATCCCAACATATGTCGATGCTCCCTAATGCTGATTGGCGCATATTTTAATGGCATAGTCAATCAGATTTATCTATTTAACTGAGATCAAATATGCGATCTATCAGTGAAATTATGCATGGGTTTGTTTGAGAGTAAGTTTACATCAAGCTCATTATTCAGATGATGCTGCCAGCCAACACAGGAACCCAGGTAGCTGTTGGAATGGGCATACTTGATATAGAATATTCTATATGTACTTAATTTGTAATTTGGTTGGGTAATATTTAGTAATGAAAGCTACATGAATAAATAAACATTCCAACAATTCAGAATTCTGGAATTTTGGTAGCATGAGAATATTAAAATTTTTTTTTCTATAAAATAATTTGAATTGAATGTTTTTCATAATGTGAATTTTGATGTGATCGTGCACTGCCCCAACACCCCCCCCCCCAAGTGTAAACTTTGACACTTCTTTGTAATAAACTTATTTTTACACATTTCCCTTATCCAATGGATTAGTGTAAGGATTTCAGGACAGGAGTGGGTGGGGAGAAAAAGTAGAACTTGTTTGTTATACCATATTTGTACCATACCTATTAGTAGTGTAAATGCTTACATAAACAAGAGGTGTTGCTGTCGTCAAAATAAATATTATTTTAATGATTTAGTATGCAATAAATGTGATTTTCAGTTTTAACGAATATGGTATGATTTGTTTAGTAACGTGTCTACCATCCTGGAAATATCCCATTACTAAGCAGGAAGCAGAAACCACCAAAATTAAAGGGCTGAGGTCATCATGCAGCGATGTTAAAATCTTAAGCAAACAATGTAGTTTACATGCAGTATATATGTCTATATAGGACCCAAATTGAACACAACACGGCATAAAAACCACTACCCTTTAATACACACTGTAACACACTGAGAAACAAACACACATAAACGCATTATAATATTATTTACTAATGCCTGAGTGGCAAACATTATGAATACAACCCTGAGGTTATTTGTACATATACATATCAAACATTTGAAAAACTGTACCGGTACTCTTTGTTTTTAACAACAACAAAAAAATAAAAAAAAATTGCATACATGTTTTAGACATCACAGTTGTTAGATGAATGTACAGTGTTACTCGATTCTTACTTCAAAACAAAGTCTTTTTAATTTCCAAAACATAAATCTTTACAGTATTTAATCTAAAAGGCAGAGTTGGTAAAGATTTTGATTTAAAAAACATTACCTGGTACACTGTACACCAGTTAATACAACACAGCCAGACAAACTAATCCTCCGTAGCCATCAATGTTTACTGCCCCGTCAGTTATCTAAGTACTGTAAATGCATTAATTATTCACTTGGTTTTAATTTCACAATTTTTGCTGATAAGTGAAATTCACTAATTTAAATCTACGTGAACATGTAAAATAACAATAAAACACATGTTTCCTTGAGAAATTCGTGAAATTAAAACACAGTGAATAAGCTCAAAACATTGAAACAGTGGAATTAAATGTCAGTGAAAATAAATGGTTTTACAGTATGTCGTTATGGATGTATGTAACTTTATAAACAAGTAAAAATGCAGAAATTTAAAAAGCACTACCAATTTTTGATATAGTGTGAAACATTCCTTCAAATAAATGAAAAATAGCAAAAGAAAATGGATACCTAACTAGTTTCCATGGAAACAATGACTTTGTGATTTTCCCACATCGCTAAGCACTCCTCTCAACCAATCAGATTTTTCAATTGGCCAAAATATTGTTTATATATTTTAAATAATTAAACTTTTTTTTCTTCAAATCTTGAAATTTCAGGAAATTTGTGTGTTAGCCACATTCATCCTTAAACAAGAAATCTCTGACCAGTGTCAGTGAGCCAATGACTTTATACAGCAGGAACTCTGACTAGCTTGATATCTCGTGATGATTTGCCTTTTACAGTTTGAACCCCCCCCCCCCAAAAGTTATGTACAGCCTTTTGTGAACCTACACGCATACTGGATATTATCAATTTTGTTTGGTCTAACCATCACACCATTATGAAAATCTAAAACTGTAATTTCACAAACAATGCCTTAAAAATAAACAGCTCTCTCTTTCTCTAGATAAAGTTTACACTGTAATGACATAAAAGAAAACGATTTTTCATTTATATAAAACTTCCTTATTAAAAAACACTTAAAAAAATAGTACTGTGATAACAATTATATACTGTGTATACTTTTAAAAAAAAATTGATAAATATGTTAATTTTATTTCTATGTAAATGTACATTTCGAATATTTTATAGAAAGTACCACAAAAGCTAGGGAGTCCAATAAATTAAGAGAGCACCAAGACTCCCTAGCTATTCCTCTAGATTATATTCAACATATAATGAGCTCAAATAAATTTGAAAAAATAACATGAAATAAAGATTTGTAATATTCACCCCATTAGATCCATGGGAGTAGTGTTTTCACCGTACCTATATACAGGAATAAGTTTATTGCAAATGGTTTTAATTTTGCAAAGCAAAAATTTTCACCAGTGA